ATACTGTTCCAAAGGGTGGCACCACAAAAGCTAAAGCTATTCTTATAATAGTTTGTGCATAGCGATGGAACATTATGCATAGTTTATTCTCAGAGTCTCTTAGGTTATACGCAGTTTCTCTCCTTTCAAATTTAGAACGTGAATAGTCTGGAGCTAAGGATTGGCAAATTTAAAACCTCTTTTGGAGGACATTTTTTAGATGCAGAAAAGGAAGCTGACTTCTTATTAGAGTGGTTCTTGTGATCAGCCACCAGAGGTGTAAGCCACTGTCAGTATAAGAATGATGGTCGCTCATGGGAGCTTGCCTAGCCAGCAATTTTGGGAATGTAGATATGTAACAAGATCCATATATAGACAAGACAATCATTTGCAATGTAACCAATGTACTGAAAAATTATTGCTGTCATAGGCAACATTAAAGTTGTCCTCTTACAGGAGCTAAAAATCAAGAGAATTGTCTGTATTAACTGTAACCCATGAAAGTATCAAAATATTATTTTTCCTTGTGATAATAGAACACTGCCAAGTCAGTTCTCTATGATAATGATAATACTAATGTAGAAAACTAACCACAACCCAAATGATTGATTTAACCAGTCAAAGCCCCACTATTTCTACACAGTTACTTATTCCAACATCCGATTAGTTCATACAGGTACCTCAAGGTGCTGCATAGACATTTCCTCACTGATTAGATGAAGATATACGTCAACGCATGCACAAGCTAACTGATCAATACGTTAGACATCTTAATCCCACTGTTTGCTGGTGAAGCTTTATATACAAATTGAAGGGATAAATCGCATAGATCAAATCCCTCTGAATTCAATATTCGCAGAATGACAAATTAGAGGGTTCCCCAAGCAATAAAGCTCAGAGACAAAGGTTTTCCCGTGGGTTCTCAGTCATCAATAGAATAATTTCTCATATACCCAAAATAATACCTTGATGGCTTCCTTTGGGTAAAACTACGGAAGCAAATAATCATTCACTAGATCAAAATTCCCTTAATTATTATGCAAAATATTGTGTTCCGGTACCGGTTTCCTCTGCAGTACATGTTTATCACGCGGTTGATAACAGCGAATGAACAGCTCACCTTGTTTGTTGCATCCATATGTTGAAATGCAGAGAGGAAGAAATGTGCAATATCAAACTCCTTCTTCCTGAACAACAGTGCTGGATGCTTGAGCGTCAAAAAGTTCAAACCGCGCGCCTAACCATAAAAGATTCTAACCCTAGCGGGTCTTAAAGAACAAAACTAACGTTTACTATCAAATTTATCCTGACTTGTAAATTCATGGGAAAAGATCAACTGATCCTCAGTTTTGTTATACGGAGAAGACAAACAAAAATCAACTAAGAACGTATAAACTTTCTAAACGTCTCGGTATATACTAAATGTAACTACCCCTCTTTTGTGCCCTCTTTTTTGGCGTCATGTGTTATTACCCAGTAGTCTTTGTATACCCCTATCGTCGTCTTTTCATCATGGCGGAGTTGCTGCTCGATCCGGCTATCCGTTTGTGGGTTATTTTACCCATTGTAATAATAACGTTTCTCGTCGGAATAATCAGGCACTATCTCTCTATGCTTCTACAGTCAAAGAAAGATTTAGATCTTCTACAAGTATCCGACAGGTAATGATTTGAGGACAAAAAAGTTCGTTCTGCAATGTAATGTAGCTGTACGTAAATTATGAACTTTCTCTAGACCAATTCACAAAATCGCTCTTCTTTCCCTCGGTACTTCTCGCTGCTTAAGGTATTGGCGCGGTAATACCTCTTTTACTGAGCTAGTTTCTTCTGAAATATCTCAGCCTTTGAAATGGCAACTGAATTAAATTTTTCTATGAACTTACGTCTCTCTCGATGTTTCAATTTCTCAGCCAAGCTTTGATGAGGAGCAGAAATCTTAGGGAAAATGCAAAATATATTCCTTACGAGGTACGTGAAATAAGACTTCATTTACGTGTGGTTGGTGCTAATATGATAAATGTATTGATGAACGTATATTTTTGTTAAACCTCAGCAAAATTAATTGTAACATTTTCGACAAAGTGTTTTGAGGCTAGAAGACATTTCTTCAATGATGAGGAAGAGGGGTATTTTAAAACACAAGATAGAAAAGGGCCAGTCAAGAATCCAATATCAGGTTGGTGCAGGTTCATACAATTACATGGTACAGATTTGTAGGTCTTAATCATTGTTCTTCTTTTCAGGCAGTAATTGGTAGAATTTAGTAAAGGTAATAACATGATTTCAAGTGCAATTTGATGTCAATAAGCATGAGTAAATTTTTCAAAGACAACAAAATTGCAGAAGCCCATGGGGTAAGTGCAGTTTCTAGTCTCTGAAAAATTTACGAGTGCTTCTTATGCCAATTTGCACAGGAATCATGTTGTTATTCGTTAGTAATTTACTTGAAAGAAGCATTGCAGAAAGGAAAGACAGATGTAACTTTGACAGGGCATGCACATTATTTCTAATTTGCACTTGTCTTACAATTTTTTACTTGTGATACAACTTTGCACTTGTGTTACTTGAAAAATGCACTTATTTTCAGCTTATCAGATGTGCATAATTTTTTCATGTATATTATTACCACTGATGTTGTTTGGAATTCTTGAAAATTGAATAGGCAAAGGATTGCTCTACCAATTTAAAACTTTCTTTTACCTGTCATGCTTAAAATAAAGGAGAATGCTGATTTAATGTCTGCCATTCTTAAAATGAAGGAGAATGCTGTTTTAATATCTGTCCTGCCAACTGAGGCTTTCCTAGTAGTTTCTCTCATCAAACTAAAAGACTGGCCCTAATATGAACTTGACTGACACATGAAGTGAAGAGGGTTACACTAGCGTAAAGAGAGAATTGTCCTAAAAGGCTTGTAAATGACTGTCTTTTCACAAAACCACTAATTATGAATGGAAGATCCTTGAAGTAAAGGTTAAGTAAGAACCCTGCACAATTTCTTCTGAAATTTTAGGAACATATTTTTAAGTGTTTTGGTTCTGAAATTTCTTTTCCAATACATGCCTTTGAATGCAGGTGTATAGTATCTAGTTTTTATCATTAATTTTCTGGATAACCTTACTCTTTTTTGTTAACTCATTAACTCCCACAAGTGATTAACATGTAACTTTTCCCCATAATATCCACACATTATCCAGCAAACAGGTAACGAGAAACCTCAAACTTATCAGGTAGAAGTTTTTATCTTGATATCACACCAAATTCTTTTAACTGAATCTCAAGGAAATGTGTTGTAGCTAGAGAGAAGAACTGTAAACAGATCTTGAGAGTTTAAGGGTGTTTGTTATTTGATGTTTTTTTTGTTTGTTTATCATGTACCAGATCCAACAATGATGGTGGACATGGCCAAAGGAAACATAACAAATGTTTTGCCAATGATCCTTATTGGAGGCTGGATTAACTGGCATTACTCTGGTTTCATTACGAGTATGATAACACTTCTCCTTTGTTATATATTCAAGAGTTTCTCACTGAAGTTGAGTGTGCATACCTGAGTGGAGGAAGTTACTATAGATTATACATATTACCAAAGAACACAACAGAGCTTTATTTCTTTTAACCCTTTTAACTCCCATGAGTGACCAAGACATCATTTCTCCTTACATTATCAATATAACATCAAGTAGATAAGTGACGAGAATAAAGGAAAACATCAACTAAGGGATTATTAGTTGATCTGATTCAAATTCTCCAAAGTAGTATCATAAGAATCATATGGCAGACAGTGAGGAGAATTATGAACAAAATCATGGGAGTGTTTTATTTTAGAGAGAGAGAAAGAGAGATGGAGAGAGAGATATAGACAGAGACATAGAGAGAGAGAGAGTGTTTGATTGTTGCGTTTGATTGTCATAAAAGTATTAAAGATGTCGTTGTTTGTAAGACTCTATTGAGAAAGTCCTCTGTGTCAATACATTAATAGAAACATTTATTAAAGGAAAAATAACAAAAAACTTTTTGTTGCACTTAACAGCAAAAGTCCCATTCCCACTCACTTTGCGGTTCAAAGCCATGTTGCAGCGTGGCATTGATCTTACAACCTTAGACGCATCATGGTAAGTTTTTAATCTGTAGCCATTGAGCTTGTTCCTCTCAACTTTTAATACAGCGGAACACCATCTTGCTGTGACCTGTAAATTTTATTTTAGATTATCACTCTAGTTTTACCCTGGTATCTCCAAACTCAGTTTGGTAAAACTGATCTCACTGGTGTCCGAGAAAAGTAATTTTGGCATAATAATTATTTGTGCACGACATTCCAGAACAACAACAACAAAAGGAAACATCTGGATTGAAAGCCTGAGCTATTATTGGAAGTGCACAAGTAATTGTTCTCTTTTGAGTTGTGTTCACTTTTACTAGGTGAAGTGTGTACAGTATCTGTTCAATGAAATTAAGAAAAACTTTATGTT